CTTCAAGAATCCTCAGAAAATCAGAAGAATCATGTCACTATAGAAAGTTCATAATCAATTGCAGGAGCCAACACCTACCTTGTACAAATAAGGTTTCTAGGGCCCCAAACTATAAAATGGTATTGTGGGATAAATTGAGCCCTTTCCTAACAACAACCGCAAAATTGGATGCTGAAGTCTGGCCCCAGTACTTTAGTATGTGGCAACTGTGAGTCTTCATGGAAGGAACTAAGTTAAAATGAGGTCCTCAGAGTAGGCGCTCTAATTCAGTATTATCAGTGTCCCTAGAGAAAGAAGACAATGGTATACGGAGAGTCACAGAATAAAAGCCCAGAGTCACAGGGACAAGGCACCTATGTATTAGACAAAGAAGGATGGTAGGACAGATCATGTATCTCAGCTGTAAGAAAGGGTGTCATGGTATCTTGGCTTTGGCATTCCAGCATCCAAAACTATGAGGTAATAACTACTTCTGGAAAATGCAGCACCTAAAGTATGCTGTCATCGAAGCCTGACAGCCTTCTCGGCAGTTTGTCTTCTATTGTATAGTGATGAAATAAGAAGACACAGCCAAGACCCAGAATTCCAGACTCCAAAATCCACTCTATAGCTTACCTTGACTAACAGTTAACCTCTCAATTGCATAGAAAGTTCTTGTCCTTTAAACCAGTGGACTTGCTTTTACATCTGCTCTGATTTCTCCTCAGCCCTCTACTGCTGCCTTCTGTACCTCAGGTGCCAGGGCCATGCCTTTTACACTTTAGATCTTCCAGGGCATTGACCCAAATAAATCTCTGTTCTAAACTTAACAAAATAAAACTCAATATTCTATGATTTTAAGGGTCTTGCTAAGTATGTTTCTATTCAACTGCTGTACATTCCATCTCCACATCATTAGGTATTTTCACAGATGTCTCATGAACTCAGAACTCAACCTGTACAAACCAAACAATACCCACCTGCTGTCACATGACCAGCCACTAGTTGAGACCACCTTATGAAAATCATCCCTGCTCCTTGCACTGGGCAAAGGCACTGAGTTTCGACTTCTGCTCATTTTCTGGAATGGTCTAGACAGTGTCTTCTCCATGAGGTAATTTCTAGTTCAAGGTCCAGCCCACAGTTTAGCACACTTCACTAATAGAGAACCTTCCTGAGAATCCACAATACTTCAGAAATGATTTGGCATTTATATGGCATTGTATGTTATTCTTTGAGTTATTATTTCAATCTTCTGCCTGCCACCTGGATGACAGATTCCTCAAGAGCACCATCTGTATCCAATATTCCATCTTATTTACTGACTCTAGCTTAATGATTCTCTGTAAGGCATTCAATAGCTGTTACAGGGAGGGTGTCACACAAGGTCACTAACCCCATTAAAACTCTACATATGAACAGAAGGGGAGGGAGAACATTTCACATCCCAGTAAGGACTGTAATGGAAATGAACAGGGCTATTGGCATGGCCAACTGCACACAGGTGGGTAAGATAATACATAGCTTCTATTTTAGTCAGGGTGGCTATGGGAAATTTCTCTGAGAAGAGAACATATGAGTTTTTGGCTGGTACCTCAAAGCAATCAATGAAGGGCTAGACAGTGGCAGAGTGTATGTGAGGGCCCTGCAATGGAACACTGTGAAATTGTTGAAAGGAACTCAGTCAGAGTGCCAGGTAAAGACTTTTAAGGGGGGGCATTAATAAAACATGGGTTACAGTTTTAGATTAGAGTAATTTCAAAGTAACGAAGAAACAGTAAGGGTGACAAAGCAGGAGAGAGTATAATGTAAAAGCCACTGCAGCAATCCAAGGAAGAACTGATGATGACTGGGGTGCAGTGAGCAAGGAGACTGGTAACAGCTGTGGAAGACATAAGCTACCGTTTAGAGATGTAACCACTAGAATACATATGACTAATTTGGGTAAGCAGTGCTAGACTTTGCTGTTACTCATGTACAGAGAATACTGCATGGTATGTGATGGACCAGATGGACCATCACAATACGTTTGGATATACATTTTAGGTAATTTGTTACACCAACCTTACTTGGTGGTGACATCTTATTCTTCTTTTGCTTTTTCTTTCTTTTTTTGTTCCGTTTGTTTTTCTAGACAGGGTTTTTCAGTATAACAGCACTGGCTGACCTGGAACTACCTCTATACATTAGGATGGACTCAAACTCACAGAAATCCACATGCCACTGCCTTCTGAATGCTGGAATTAAAGATGTGCATTGCCAACGCCCGGTGATGTCTTATACTTCTTAGAGGTTGTTGAATTCAAGGGGAAGTCCCAAGTAGACTGATGGATGTATGAAATGGACATAAAGACCAGGTCTTCACTAAGTAAATACATGTATGGAAGCCAACAACATACACCTGCTTTTTAAACTTAATGAAATGAATAGGAATGGGTGTGTATTAGAGGAAAACCAGCATTTTTCTCTCTGTAGGTCCTACAAACCTAAAGGGCAGCACAAAGCAATGAGAAAAACAATTTGCCTAGAGTCTCTGATGTTGCAGAAAAGATGCTTCAACCATGTGCAATCTGCTAAGAGGTTGAACAAAAAAACAAACAAAACAAACAAAAACCCATAAAAGTGAAAGCTTGGTACATAATAAAGAGGCAATGAATACATTTTCTAAAGGTTTCAGCTAAATGGCAATGAAAAAAGTCAAACTGAATGAAGGGAAGAATAAGAAAAGAAAATAAAAGGACAGAATGCGCTGGCTACTTTTACGACAACCTGAAACTAGCAAGAGTCATTATGGAAAAGGTATTTTCAGCTGAGAAAATGCCGCTTCTGAACTGGTCTACAGGCAAGTCTGTGGTACACTTTCTTGACTGATGATTGAGGTGGTCAAGGGGTGTAAAAGAAAGCAAATCAACCAGCCACGAGGAGCCAGTAGGCAGCATCAGCTATTGCCTCCACACTCCCATCCTGCTTGAGTTCCCTACCTCACGTCCTAAAATGATGAACTGTAACATGGAAGTATGAGAAAAATAAATCCTGTCCTCCCCAGGTTGTCTTTGGTCATGGTGTTTTATCAAAGCAAAGAGGAAGAAGAGGAAGACGAGAAGGAAAACACACAACCATCATCATCAAATGACAAACAAATCAGATAATGACAAGAGTATATGTACTTTGTCAATGACTTCACAAAACTAGGTAGCAAACACTGACACATCATTTGAATCAGCAGAAGATGTAGCTTTGATCCCTTTGAAGGGAAAATGAACTGAGGCCTTAGGTAAGGGTGATTTGCATTTTTAATATTATTTTTTCTTTCTTTAATATTTTTTATTAATGTACATTGGTGTTCTGCCTGCATGTGTATCTGTATGAGGTTGTTGATGCCCTGGACCTGTAGTTACAGACAGTTGTGAGCTGCCATGTGGGTGCTGGGAATTGAACCTGGGTCCTCTGGATGAACAGCCAGTACTCTTAATCACTGAGCAATCTCTCCAGCCTAATTTGCATTTTACATGATACAGAAGTGAAGCGCTAATCCTAAGAGTTATGACAACAAACTGAAAAATTCCCATGAATAATATGACTCTCATTTAGAAGAAAAATCCACCTATACATAAATGAACAAGGCAAAAGACAGCTCAACCTTATTTCACAAAACTAAAGCCTTATACTTAGAATCTACTGTATTATGAGAACATTTAGAAAAATAACAATGGGAGAATAATACAACATACATAATACTAATCTATAAAGGGAATGAGACAACCAATGCAAAGTAAAGGATAAGAACAATGGTGGTATAGAATTTGTGGTAGTGCCCAACCAAAGACAGGTCCAACTTGAGGCCCATAGCACAAAAGGGACACTGCCTGGATGGCCAGAAACTGGAGGCTGGACAGCACCGATAGCTAGGATAGAACCAAACATCACACACACACACACACACACACACACACACACAGAGAGAGAGAGAGAGAGAGAGAGAGAGAGAGAGAGAGAGAGAGAGTCAATGAAATGGAAATGACTACTATCATAGTCTGCTCTAATCATAGATTGGTACTTAGCCCAATTATCATCAGAGAGGCTTCATCTATCAACTGATGGGAGCATATGCAAAACAAATATTCGACAGAGCTCAGAAAACCCCCATGGAAGAGGGGGAGGAAAGACTGTAGGAGCCAGAGGGGTCAAGAAGAACATGGCCCGCAAAATCAATTAATCAGGACTCAAAGGGGCTCACAGAGACTAAAGCAACAACCAGAGAGCCTGTAAGGGTCTGAGCTAGGTCCTCTGTATATGAATTCTGGGTATATAGTTTGGTATTCTTGTGTGTCTCCTAAGATTTGCAGTGGGGCTGTCTCTGACTCTTTTACCTGCTCTTGTGATCCTTTTCCGCCTACCGGTTTACCTTGTCCAGCCTTGGCATGAGGGTTTATGCCTAGTCTCACTGTAACTTGTTATGTAGTGTTCAGTTAATTTCCCTAGGAGGCCTGCTCTTTTCTGAAGGTAACCTCTGGGGCAGAGGTTATGTCAGGAAGAGAGACTAGGAATGGAGGAGGGTGAACACGATTGGAATGTAATATATGAGAGGAGAATTGAAACAACAAGAAAAGGAGGAAAGAAAAGGAAAAAATGAACAAAAGAAAGAATGAGCAACAAGGTAAGGACAATCTTGCATTTTAAAGAATTTCCTTTAAATTTCATCAATACAGAATAATGTTATTCTGAGATGTGCTTTAGTAATACTGCAAATAGAATCATACATAAAAAATCCTCCAGTTGCCTAGATAGCCCGCCATGAATTTCTCCCCTACAAATCTGAATATAGAAAGATGGTCTGGTCTTGTTTAATATGCCTTGTTATGATTGTAGCAGGTAGTGATATTTTTTAATTTCAGTTTACACAATCAAATGAGACATTTAATAACATAACTGTAAAGCTCAGCATGTCTGGAGATACAGCACACTTACCATGCTATGAACCCCACCTAAACACAGAATCAAAGAGAGCACAGAGGGCCTACCTTCCCTGATGGCCGTGAAAGGTGTCCCCTCTTCCTCCTGCAGTCTGATCACCTTTAGAGCCACCAGCTTCCCATTTACCCTGCAGGAAACCAAAGAACAGGTGAAAGGGATTGCAGAACTCTATCTGCTATGGTTTGGATTATGGCCCTGAAATTTCTGATCTATACAATTATGCATTGAGAATGTCAATGACTCAAATATTCTGCCGCAGCCATATTGACTTCAGGAAGGCTGGGTTTCCTAGATCATTGTGAATATTCACAGTGTAAATATACTTGTAATAGGTTAAGGTAGAATGTGATATTTTTGTGATTTAGTTTTTCCCTTCCAGTGAAATTAAAGTCCAACAAAACCACTTGACAATGATTCTCAGTTTAATTAAAAACAAAGCAGTGGCATGAATATTTTCCTTTGTTTCTCAAACTGCATTTTCACTCTAGAATAGTGTTATTTAATTCCAAGGACAGAAACTTGACACTCCCACTACTTTCATCTCTCACCCCACCACATCTTTCCCAGTTTTTAAATAAGAGGTCCTGAAAATTATATTTCTTCTGGTTGTGTTTTATATTGTGGCATACCATCAAAAATTTTATGAATAGGGGCCTGGAAAGTTAGCACTGGCTGCTCTTCCAGAGGACCAGCGTTTACATCCCAGCACCCACACAACAACTCACGACTATAACTTCAGTTCCAGGGTCCCAGCACCCTCACACAGGCACACAGGCAGGCAAAACACCAATGCACAAAAAAAAAAACAAAAATAAATAAATATACTATAAATGAATATACTATCACAAATTACAAAATACATAACCAAAGCAAATAGTTCGTTGAAACACATTCTGCATGTGTCAGCTCTAATCAAAGGTAAGATTACACTATGGAGACCGTTATCCAGTCATTCCGTTACTATCAACATCAGAGATCTAACTATATATTCTGGTCCTCTTCATTGCTTCATTTTCTACTTTTACTAAGCTTGATGGAATATCTTATTTACTTGCCCTGTTTATTAAAATGTTTTAAAGGAGATAGTAAATGTAAAAAGTACAAAAATAATTAATGAAAATCAAAGCACCCTGACATACTCCTCTCACCTCCCAACTCCCATCCTCTGAAGCCAATACTGACTGCTGTTCAGATATACTCTCATGTCTATTTTCATACATAAAGTATATGTGTATATGTTTACATCACTGGCACGCGTATACATATACACCTGCAAAGTACAGAAAGCCACATACAGAAATGTTGGTATATGATACATAGTATACTGCATCCCCTTGTATAACTATAACATAATTTCATACTAGTCTTCAGCTAATGGTCATCTAACTCATTCACAACGTTCTGCTACGACAGGATTTAATGATATCCTTGCATAATTTACCCATATTTTTAAAGATGTAACAAATCTGCCCTCTCCCCACCCCCCCCAAAAAAAAGGCCAGAACACACACAATTTCAAGTATTTTTTATGAAAATTCAAACTTCTTTGTACATAGCAGAAACCAATTTACGTTTCGTATAGCAACAACCACAGTTCCCATTCCTTTCCTGCCTCCTCTATGTTACCAATATTTGGTTTGCTAAACTTATAGGTCAGCATGGTTTCTTATTATAATTGTGATTGCTACCAGAAATCTTCAGGGTATCCAAAGTGGAGAGCTCATGTGACCCAGAGAATTCTGTGTCTGAGTCTGAAATAAGTATGTTAACGTCTTTAAAGTAAATAAGTAAAAATTTAAAAATCACAATATCTAACTAATGTTATGAGTAGGACTAACTTATGTTTGTTCAAAATACTGTCCCAGAAGGGAAACCCAGAAGCCAAAGTTTTCAACACAATCCAACTGCTACGTGGCATTTCTCCCTATGCTCACTGACACTCCACTGTTACTGGTGATGGCAATGGGATAGGGACATCTTGCTACAAGGCTTCACCATGTGCAGTCTTCCTCCTGGAAGTCACATTCTTGATGCTTTGTCTGTATCTCAGCTGGGAGGCAGGCCTAACAATTCTCTGCTGGGCAAACTCCTCTTCTGAGTGCATCATCACCTTGACTTTCCCAAACCTGTTTGTGCTCTGGGTACCCAGGTGCAAGCATCAACAAATGCCTGCTTGTGCGGTTCAGCTGGCTTCACAGCCTGTGATCCTCACTTTGTGCTTGAGAAGCCTTTGGCAGGGATTGAGGCTGCTATGCAGTCAGAGCTGACATCTGCACAGACTTCTCAGCCCAGTTGAGCTCATCAGTAGCTCCCACAGGAGGCAGTAACTGATTCCAGGAACGCCTTGGAATGTTCCCCTCATTTACAGACATTTTCCTCTCACCCATAAAACACAGACACCACCTTCTTCCCACAAAGCTTTCCACTTCCCTTGGGAAGCATTAAACTGTATGTACTAGGAACTAAATTCTGGAATATGGGATCTCAAGCTTCTAAAGGCCATGCACTCCAAACAGGCCCTGGGACCATGAAACAAGACTAGTCCTGAGCACACTGAAAACAAAGGTGCCTTTACTTGACTTAACAGTTATTCCTGAGATGCAAGTCAGTGTGGTGGCTTGAATAAGAATGGCCCCATAGGCTCTTATATTGAACGCTTTGTCTCCAGGGAGTGGAAGTGTTTGAAAGGAGAAGCATCAGGAGCTGTGGCCTTATTGGAATAGGTATAGCTTTGTTGGGGGAGTGTGTCACTGGGAGTGGACTTTGAGGTTTCAAAAACCCGTGCTGGACCTCTCTCTCTTCCTCTCTCTCTCTCTCTCTCTCTCTCTCTCTCTCTCTCTCTCTCTCTCTCTCTCTCTCTCTCTGTCTGTCTCTCAATCAGAATGTAACTCTCAACTATTGCTCCAGTACCACCACACCTCCACCATGATGATAGTAATGGACTAACTCTCTGAAACTGTAAGCAAACCATAGTTAAATGCTTTCTCTTATGAGTTTCCTTGGTCACATGCTCTTCCCAGCAACATAACAGTGACCAAGATAGCCAGACTCCCTCTGAGCCCTCTCAAAGACCAATCTACATCATTCCATAGTGACTAAAACATTTCCTCTCAATTTACTTTCTACTAATACAAGAGCCAGTTTCATGGAAATATTCTAAAATTTCCATGAGCTGAAATTCCAAGTGTTAAGGTGTCTTTTTGTTTGTTTAAATTTTATTTTGTTTTATGTGCATGAATGTTTTGTCTGCATATAAGTCTATTCATCATGCCTGTGTCGGTGCCTGACACCTCTGGAACTGGAGATACAGATGGCTGTGAGTCACAATGTGGGTGCTGGAAATCCAACTCAGTCTTCTGGAAGAGCCAGTGTTCTTAGATCTGAGCACTCTCTCAAGCTCCAAGTGTTGGTGGATTTTGTGGGCTATAATCATTTTAGTTGTTTCTGACATTGGTATTTTAGATATCATATCATACAAAAAATTAATTTAAACATTATAAGCTCCAGAAATAGTGACTGCTTCATTCACTACTGTGTATCCTATAAACAGAACCTTTCTGGCACAGCATATAGTGTAAAGAATGAATATGATGTAATTAATTCATGGATACTTTCCCCTTCATTTATGCCAGATATATCCAGAATAAGGTAGAAAAATTATTATTTCCAAAATTTTCAGAGACACAAAAGGTTGTATGAAACTTCATTGTATAAAACTTCATTCATTATTTCCTTTTGTCTTTTGTGGTTTTTCCCTTCCTCAGATTAAAAGGGAAGTCTTTCTGCTTCTTATGCATATGGTGACAAGTTTTCATTTTGTGAAAGTTTTAGAATTTGTAGACTATTTTAACCTTTCCACAGCCAACACACACATTGTAAAACAGTGACAACTCTTTAATAATATAAGCCCAGAGCTCTAGTCAGCATCTCTCTCCTCCAAGGGCTTCACACTCGGTTTCCACTAGGAACCATAGTGATCAATAAACTGCTCTTTAACCTGAGTTACCGTGACTTTCTCCTTCCTTAATTAGATTTTCTCTGAATGTCTGGGCACTCAACTAATGCTAAGTCCTTCAGCTTCAAAGTCCAGTAAAAATGTTAAGTCCACGCTCAACAATTCGAAAAAGATCTTTGAGAAAGTAATATAAAATTGACTAATGTTCTAATTTTTGTACATACATATATCTTAAACTTCAATGCTATTATCTAACATACTTAAAATTCTGAAGTAGTAACTATGCATGTATTTCACTTCTTAAAGGTATCAAATTAAGATGCTAGCCCTTAAAAAGCAAAAATAGAAAAGCCATATTTTCTAATTATCTTGTAATATGAAACTATTTTATGAGGGCTCAAAACATGCAATTCAAACAGTGATTTAAATAAACATAAAATTCAAATTGAATCAATAAATAGTGATGTTTACAGAAAAACACTGAAGATTCTCTTTTAACAAGTCATATTAATTAAATCAAAAGCTAATGAATAAAAGGCAATCAAGGTTTGATTGCCAGTGGAAACATTAATTCAGATAAATAACATGGTGTGTAAAATATGCTTTAACTTGTGTTAATATTGCCTTACAGCATGCCATAGAGATATTGCCATTTTTACCTCCAGTTGTTATAAGCTACACAAGGAGCCATTTTATTTCAGACACAACCACCATTACCAATATGGCATCACTATGAGATACAATCTAAGCTCCAGGAAGAGTAACTCTGTGATCTAGTCTGGTCGTTATGTCACAAGGAATGAGTTAACCAATGCAGCACACACAAGGTAGAGATGCATAAATAGCTATTGGGGGGAACTTCAGTCACAGAGGCCTGGGAACACTAGGTGGCTAGGCAGAACCATGTTCAAGGAAGATCTAACTTCAAACAAACTCTGACCACACCTTCAAAACTCTAAACTTTGAAATGTGTCTGCAATTCCATGTGCCGCTTGACACCTAGACACATAAAAAATTCTCTGGTTAGAGTCAAGCCTAAAGTACAGAACTTTTAAACAAAAGCAACAGCCTACTGATTATTATTGTTGTTATTGTTATCCAACCATTGGATTTGTTTATTTCTAGTTCTGTAAAACCTATAGGGACTCCCCACTTTGCTCAGGGCACAGTTT